TGAGAACATGGGTGACTGTGGGCCTGGAAGCTAAGCAGTGTCATGCCTGGCAGGAGATTGGATGGGGGAGAGCCTGGAAGAGCCAGGGGCTGGAGGCTTTTGTCTTTAAGCCTTCTTCAAGCATTCTCTTGCTTATTCCACTGTTTTTCAACTGCCCTGTGACTCTGTCCCATCTTTCCCATTTGCCTACACCCCCACGGCTGCCCCTGACTTCCCTGTGTGAGTTTGTGTCAACAGCCCCCAGGTGCCATAGCAGCCCTAAGGCACCACAGCCCAGAAGCTAAGCAGGGTCTGGCCTGGTGGAGGCTAGGATGGCAGAATGCCTGGGAAGACGGGGGCTGGAGGCTTTGGTTCCCTGATTTCTTCCTGCACTCCCCCACTCTCGTAATGCTTCACAAGTGCCTCCTGACACTCTGGCTGTTTATTTCAGATTTCCACCTGCCTTTGCCACCATAAAGGACAGGGACCTTTCCGAGGGTGTCCATCCTGGCAGACCCATGGCTCCATAGCAGCCTGAGGGCACCCTAGACCAGAAGCTAAGCAGGGTCAGGTTTGACTGGAGCTTGGAGGGAGGATCCCCTGGGGAGAACAGGAGCTGGAGGCTTTTGCCTCATCCCTTTTTTCCACTTTGCCCTGCTTGTCCAACTGACCCCTGACTCACTGGCTCCCCCTTTAATGCCAGCCTGCACCCCTACAGCAGCCCGAGATATTCTTGTGGGGGGTGGCCCAGCAGCCCTCGGGTGCCATAGCTGAGGAGGCCCCAGCATAAAAGCTAAGCAGGGTTGATCCTGGCTGTGGTTTGTATGTGGGTGGACTGGGGAGAATGGGGGCTGGAGGCTTTTTCCTTCCCACTTCTATTTGGAATTCCCCCATGTGTTGCAAGGTTTCCCAACTGCCCCCTGACTCTAGCCTCCTATTTTCCATCAGACTGCAAGCCTATCGCTTCCTGGTACCTCCTTTTAAGTGTTTGTCCCAGTGGATCCCGGACGCCAAAGCCCAGGAGCTAATCAGGGTTGGGCCTCGGGGGGGCTTGGATGGGGGACTGCCTGGGAAACAGGGGGCTAAAGGATTTCAGCTTCTTGCTCCCTTCCTACTTTCCCTGATTGTCGCAATGCTTTCCAACCTTCCCCGACTCTCCAGCCAGCCCTTTTCAGCCTGCCTGCACCCCTAACGTGGCCCGGGACCTCCCTGAAATGGTCTGTCTCTGAAGGCACCAAATTCCATCAAAGCTAAGCAGGGTCAAGTTTAGCTTGGGCTTGGATTAGGGACTGCCTGAGAAGACAGGGACTGATTGCTTTTGGCTTGTGGTTCCCTTCCCAATTTCCCCTGCTTGTTGCAAAGTTTTCCAACCACCTCCCTGACTCTCTAGCTTTTCGTTTTCGACTTCCGCACCCCTGTGTCCCAACCACGTTGTGGGATGTCCCTGAAGGAGACCATCCTAGCAGCCCTCGGGCTGCAAAACAGACTGAGAGCACTCCAGCCTAGAAGCTAAGCAGAATCAGGCCTTGGTGGGGCTTGGATGGGGTATTGCTTGGGAAGACTGAAGGCTAGAGGATTTTGGCTTCCCACTCCCTACTGTTTTTTTTTTTTTTTTTTTTTTTTTTTTTTTTGCTTCTCACAATTCCCAGCCAAAAGCTAACTCTCTGGCCTTCCTTTCTAGGCAACCTGCTCCCCACACCCCACAGCCAGGAACCTGCCTATGGGGATTTGTCTAGGCAGCCTCCGAAACCATAGCAGCCTGAGGCTCAGGGGGCAGTTGGGAAACTTTGCAACAAGGGGGAAATGTGAGAAAAGAGCAGAAAACCAAAAGCCTCCAGGGCCGGTCATTCCACACGGTACTCCATCTAAGTGTCAATCAGGCCCAACTCTGCTCAGCTTCCTGGCTGGGGAGGCCTTAGTTTGCTATGGCGACGGAAGGCTGCCAGAACGGACCCACACAGAGAAGTCCCAGGCTGAGCCGGGACCACAGCTGCACAGGAAATTGGGATCAGGGAGTTAGAGGGTGGTGGGGAAGAGTTGCCAAACACAGAGGAAAGCAGGAAGTGAGCAGGAGGCGAAAAGCCTCCTGCCACCAGACTCCTGAGGTGGTCCCTTGTCTAAGGCCTCAGGCTGCTATGCCTACCAGGGTCAGCCAGGACAGCACCTATGGGGAGGTCAGAATACATGTTGGGGACACAGATGGGCATGAAATGGTGTCCAGAGACTCCATGGGTGGTCAAGAAGCAGGGTAAGAGGGAGAAAGCAGAAAAAGAGTGGGAAGCCAAAAGCTTCCAGCCCAGGTCTCCCCAGGCAGTCCTCCATCCAAGCCTCAGTCAAGTCCAACCTTGCTTAGCTTCTGGGAAGAGGCACCCTCAGGCTGCCATGGCCCGCAGGGCCTCCCAGGACAAACCTCCAAACAGAGATGCCATGCTGCAGTGAAAACATCAGTGGGCAGAGGCCCAGAAGCTAAACAGGGTCAGACAAGGCAGGAGCTTGGATGAGGAACCACCTTAAAAGATGAGGATGGAGGCTTTTGCCTTTTTGCCTTCTTCAAGTTTTCCACCACTTGTCCCAATGCTTCCCAACTGCCCCTGACTCTGTATTTCTGTTTTCCCGCTTGCCTAAACCTGCCCTCTGCTGTTTTTCAGGACTTTCCTGTGTGAGTTTGTATTGGCAGCCCCCAGGCACCATAGCAGCCCTAAGGGGCTGCATCCCGGAAGCCAAGATGGGTCTGGTTTGGCTGGGGCTTGGATGGAGGACCAACTGGGATGACCAGGAGATGAAGGCTTTTGCTTTCCACCTTTCTCACACTTTGCCGGGCTTGTTCCAATTCTTCCCAACTGCCCCCTCACTCACGGGCCCCAACATTTCCTTCTTCTTAGGTCCCTACAGCAACCTGGGACGTTCTTGTGAAGGTCTGCTGGTAGCCTTTGGGCACCATAGCACCCTGAAGGTGCCCCAGTGTGAAATTTAAGCAGGGTCAAGACTGGCTATGGCATGGATGGGGGCCACCTGGGGAGATTAGAACCTGGGGGCTTTTTCTTTCTCACTCACCCGCTTGTCTCAATGCGTCTAAACCACGCCATGACTTTGGCCCCCTTTTTTCCGAAACCCTGCAAGCCCATCGTGGCCTGGAACCTCCCTGTAACGGTTTCTCCTAGCAGATCCCAGGCGCCATAGCACTCTAAGGGTACCACAGCACGGGAGCTAAGCAGAGTCGCGCCTGGATGACGCTTGGATGAGGGACAACCAGGGGTGACAAGGGGCAGGAAGCTTTTGGTGTCTTACTCCCATTCCACTTTATTCCGAAATTGAAAACACGTCGCAACCACCCCTAAATCTCTGGCAAGCCCATTTCCACCTATCTGCAGCCCAGATATGGCCACGGGGATCCCGGAAGGGGAGAGAGCAGCCCCACGGCACACAGGCTGGCGGTACCTGGAAATCCCAGCAGGGACAGGTTTCAAGGAGATGCACGCCAACAGCGTCTGGGCAGGCCTGAAGCATTGTGGAGATCTTTTAGGATTGCCCTGGGCATCCCTGAAGCTCCACTGCAACTTTTCTCAGACTGGTTCCCCCTGCCCGCCTCCTGAAATTGCAGGACCATGGTGAAGATCCCCGGGAGAGGTGGGGCTGTGACCCAACGCTGAGGTAATGCCACAGAGGACCCCTGCTTTGCCAAGCCGCTGAGACGGTGGCTCCCCAGGCCAGGAGGGGCGGTCACTGTGACGCGAAAACCGGCTCAGCGCTAGTGCTTGTGCTGTGCCGCGCCAGACTAGCCAGCCTCAATGTCTGCGCCCTCCAGCCCTCCGCAGCCGCACAGGAAAATGCTGGAGGCAGTATCCGAGGCGGCTCAGGGAAGGAGGCTGAATGCCACAAGCTGCTCAGGAGCCCGACCGTCCTGACCTCAGTGGCTCACTGAGCCGACTTTCCCGTTCGGGTCGGCTGGACGGGGAGGGCGCCTCAGACCGCGAGGTGGGCACTCGGGACTGCTCTCCCCAGGGGAGTCCGGATCGAACGGCGTGGGCAGGGATCGGGTCCCATGGGGCCGAAGATTCAGTCTCGTGAGGTGTGGCGGGGGTTGCTGGACCCCAGAAACATGCCTGAGACCCGCGGGGAGGGTGTCAGCAGAACGTTCCCCAGCTCCATGAGCTCACTACTCCCCTTCTACCTGGGCCACCCACCAAAGGGCCCTGCCTTGGTCTCCAGGCCCAGGGACCCCAGCTTCTCCGCACTGCTATCCGGAGAAGGCGGAAAGAAAGACAAATCGGCAAGCGCAGCGAGCGGCAGAGGGAGCCACACCCGGAACTGGCCTCCCCTCGGGACAGATCGGGTGGAGAGAGCCTCTCAGAAGCTTTCTGGGGCGAAGCCAAATCCCGAGACGGACGTCCAGGCATGCCGCTGAGGAACCCCACTAAAGCCAAGCACAACATGCTAATGGATCTTAGTCACTTTATTGTTTTCACAGAAAACATCATCATCTTGCTACAGAGTGTTTCCATCAAATAGCTTTGATAGCCTATACACGGAGACCCGTTGTCAACTTGTCCTGTCGAGAGAAAAGCAATTCCCGGTTTTAAAAATGCAGATTCTCTTATGGACGCTTAAGTCCAGAGTGTAACCGTGTGTGGCAGGTTAATTGGTGGATGAAATCTGTTTCTGAAGGACTGTTTCCACTAAATCATATTTTAAGGAAGGTCATAACCTGCCATTTGGTTTTCCATTTTTGCTCTGATGAGCAAATCATAAACATGTAACCTTCATCCCCTCCAGACAAGCTTTTAGCATCCAACGTACCTGACACCATTTTCATTGTCTTCAGTTCCCTTGCAAGTTGCACATTCAGTTCTTCAGTCTTCAGCCTGGGAAATATGCAACATTTCCAGCAGGCACTTCAGGGATACCAGGGCTTATGGGTCATGATAAGGTCTGGATTTTTTTTTTTTTTTTTTTTTTTTTTTTTTTTTTTTTTTTTTTTTTTTTTTTTTTTTTTTACCATTTCCCAGAGAACCAGAGGAAGAGAACAAAGCTTCATTCTTCAGGGAGAAAAACATGAGGTTGGAAGAAGTTACACTTTGTAAGGTTGAAAGAAGAACCTTTCCACAGCGTTACCTTTAAGAAATTTTCTTTCTTCAAATTGTTTGAAGTTACACTTTGAAAGGTTGAAAGAAGAACCTTTCCACAGCGTTACCTTTAAGAAATTTTCTTTCTTCAAATTGTTTCCCTCATATCCTTATCCTGTTTTCTTCTATTTCCAGCCATTGTATGGCAGGAAAGAGTTCCTAGAGAGAGAATACAAAGACGGTCTGTATTGCAAAAGAAGCCCCAGGCTGAAGACTGGAGAACGGAATGTGCAACTTGCAAGGGAACTGAAGACAATGAAATTTGTGTCAGGTAAGTTGGATGCTAAAAGCTTGTCTGGAGGAGATAAAGTTTCCATGTTTATGACTTGCTCATCACAGGAAAAACGGAAAACCAAATGGGAGGGTAGGACCTTCCTTAACATACGATTTAGTGGAAACAGTCCTTCAGAAACAGATTTTCATCCACTGATTAACCTCCCACACACGGTTCCGCTCTGGACTTAGGTGTCCATAAAAGTGAGAATCTGCATTTTTAACACCGGGAATTGCTTTTCTCTCGACAGGACAAGTTGACAACGGGTCTCCGTGTATAGGCCATCAAAGCAATTTGATGGAAACACTTTGTAGCAAGATGATGATGTTTTCTGTGAAAACAGTAAAGTGACTAAGATCCGTTAGCATGTTGTGCTTGGCTTTCCTGGGGATCCTCAGCGGCATGCCTGGACGTCCGTCTCGGGATTTGGCTTCGCCCCAGAAAGCTTCTGAGAGGCTCTCTCCACCCGATCTGTCCCGAGGGGAGGCCAGTTCCAGGTGTGGCCGCCTCTGCCGCTCGATGCGCTTGCCAATTTGTCTTTCTTCACACCTTCTCTGGACAGCGGTGCTGAGAAGCAGGGGTCCCTGGGCTTGGAGACCAAGGCAGGGCCCCTTGGTGGGTGGCCCAGGTCGAAGCGTGGCAGTGAGCTCATGGAGCGGGGGAACGGTCTGCTGACACCCTCCCGGAGGGTCTCAGGCATCTTTCTGGGGTTCGCCGACCCCCGCCACACCTTACCAGACTGAATCTTCGGCCCCGTGGGACCCGATCCCTGCCCACGCCGTCCGATCCAGAATCCACTGGGCAGAGCAGTCCCAAGTGCCCACATCTCGATCTGAAGCGCCCTCCCCCTTCAGCGTACCCGAACAGGAAAGTCAGTCCGGGGAGCCACTGAGGTCAGGACGGTCGGGCTCCTGCGCTGCTTGTGGCACGCAGCCTCCTTCCAAGGGGCCGCCTCGGACACCGCCGCCAGCACGTTCCCGTGCCGCTGCGGCCGGCGGGTGGGGGAGCTGGGACTCCGCGGCTGGCCAGCCGGGCATGCCAATGCGCATGCGCAAGCGGCGCTGTCACAAGCGCGAGCTCCCACCCGGGGCTCAGGTCACAGTGACCGCCCCCGTGGCCTGGGTAACCGCCGTCTCAGAGGCTTGGCAAAGCAGGGGCCCTCCGTGGCAGTGCCTCGGCGTTGGGCGATGGCCCCACTCTGCCCGGGATCGTCGCCAAGGTCCCGCGATTTCAGGAGTCCGGCAGGGCGGAACCAGGCTGAGAAAGCTGCTGCGGAGCTTCAGGGATGCCCAGCGCGATCCCTAAGGATCCCCATGATGCTTCAGGCCTGCTCAGACGCTTGTGGGGTGGGGGGTCTCCTTGAAAGCTGTCCCTGCTGGGATTTCCAGGTACCGCCAGCCTGTGTGCCGCGGGGCTGCTCTCTCCCCGAGGGGCTTCCCGGCAGAGAGCAGGACCCCGTAGCCTTAGGAGCTGCCTGTGTCTGTTCGATGTCTCCGTGTGTCTTTCTTTCTTTCTGTGTGTGTGTGTGTGTGTGTGTGTGTGTGTGTGTGTGTGTGTGTATGAGTGTACCTTTCTGTGTGTGTTCATGTGTTTGCGCATGTGTGTGTGGGAGCACTGTATCCCCGACGTGAGGGTGGCCAGTGCACTCCAGCTCTGTTTCTCTGTAGGCCGCCTACCTTCTGGTGCATGTCTCTCCTTGGCTCAGCATAGGGGCTGTGCAGCCTCGCTTTTTTTTTTTTTTTTAATGTTCCCCCACTTTGTGTTTCTTCTGTCAGTGAAATAGAATTCAAAGGTAGGAGTTGCCATACTAATGGAGTCATTACTGAGTATTGTGAGGTCATCTCTAAGTACTGAATATTGTGCTGTAGAGTGGAGTACTGAGTACTGAGTATTGTGCTGCACAGTGGAGGCGGGCGGTTTATGTCTGGAGCATGGGATCTCACCAGGACCTCATGAGCCCAGGAGACCATGAAGATCTTGGTCCATTCGTCCCTAGCAATAATGGTGAACAGGGGGCAGTCATTCCTAACAGAGAAGAGGGAACCAAAGGCGGCAGCCCCTCATGGTGAGGTCCTTGGTCACCCCAGCAGGCAAGAGCCTTGGACCATCTGAAATGCTGGCTCAGGGTGAAAGAAATCTTGCATCGGTTCTCTCTGGAAGGGACTGATGACAAATATTAATTATGAACTGGGGACCAGCTGCAGCTGCCCCGAATATAGCTCATTCCAACACATCTCTGTATTCAGTCTTTCTGTAGGTTATGCCTATCCACTCTCCAGAAGACTCAGTGCCACTGTGGGTGGGCAAATGTGGATCTGAGTAGTACAAGGGGTAGACTGTGGCAGACACTTTCTGGTGCTCTTCTTCATTTTCCTTCAATGTCCTTCTGATTTCAGCAGCAGCAGCAGTGGTGATCAGTTACAGACAAATGCAGGCATGCAGGGGGTGTCCCACATCAAGCATGTTACAGCATCTTTTCCCTCTCTGGCTCAGGGTTTTTTCAACAACAAAGGTCTGTTGAGGCTATGAGCAAGCCCTGTCCACAATTGTGAGGAAGTCAGTGTCCTCAAGGAACACCCTGCACCTCTGGAGATGTAGGAGCAGGTGGATAAATGCTCCAGGCTCCTTCTTACAGGACAACTTTGGGAGATGTTTTGTACTCTTTGCAAGGGTTTCTACAGACTTAAGCCCTCTTTGCTGAAGCAGCAACCAGAACTCACCCTGATGTCAGCTTTTCCTCTTTCCCTTTAACATTCTTGTTTATTCTGTCTGTTCCCTGAGTTGCCTCTCAAATAAACTCCCAACTCCAAGACCTTGTCTTAGGTTGTGCTTTGAAGGCATGTAAACACAGATGCCCCTGTGTTTTCATTTGTGTGTTTGTTTTTTGAGACAGAGTCTTGCTCTGTTGCCCAAACTGGAGTGCAGTGGTGCAGTCACAGCTCATGGCAGCCTCCACTTCCCAAGTTAAAGTGATCCTCCCACCTCAGCCACCTGAGTATCTGAGACTACAGGCATACATCACCAAGCCTAGCTAATTTTTTGTTGAGATGGGATCTCGCTATGTTGCCCAGGCTGGTCTAAAACTCCTGGCTCATGGCCAGGTGTGGTGATTCATGCCTGTACTCCTAGCACTTTGGAAGGCCAAGGCGGGTGGATCACTTGAGGTCAGGAGTTTGAGACCAGCTGGCCAACATGGCGAAACACTGTCTCTACTAAAAATACAAAAATATTAGCCAGGTGTGATGCCACCCACCTGTAGTCCCAGCTCCTCAGGAGGCTGAGGCAGGAGAATCACTTGAACCTGGGAGGCGGAGGTTGCAGTGAGCTGAGATCAAGCTACTGCACTCCAGCCTGGGTGACAGAGCAAGAATCTGTCTCAAAAAAATAAAAATAAAACAATAAAACTCCTGGCTCAAGTCGTTCTCCTACCTCGGCCTCCCAAAGTGCTAAGATTACAGGCATGAACCACTGCTCCCGGCCAAGGACACCCTTTACTCAAACAGTCCTGGCAGAAGGGCTGCGATGGCCCGGGGCAGCAGGTGTCTGGCCAACAGTTTCTAGTGTTTTGTGACTGCTACCTACTGACACACATGAAAGAGACAGTCATACTGGTGTGTACTGGTGGAATGTTGACTCTTGCCTTCAACAATGTCGAAGTTCAGGGTTCAGCAAATGTATTTAAACTGGGCATGGTGGCTCACATCTGTAATCCCAACACTTTGAGAAGCCAAGACAAGAGGATAGCTTGGGCACAGGAGTTCAAGACCAGCCTGGGCAACATAGTGAGACCCTTCATCTCTACAAAAAATACAAAAGTTAGTCAGGCATGATGGCATGTACCTGTTGTCCCAGCTACTTGGGAGGCTGAGGCAGGAGAATCACTTGAGTCAAGGAGGTTGAGGCTGCTCTGAGCCATGATTGTGCCACTGCACTACAACCTGGACAACAGAGTGAGACCTTGTCTCCAAAAAATAAAAAATAAACAGTATTTGTAGATCTCAGAACTGAGCAGGTCAAGCTATTCATAACTAGTTCTTTCATGTATTCATAAAGTTCTAAGATAAAACCTCCATGTAGGTGATTATCTGAATGGCTGGGGCCTATGCCACTTCGTAAGTAGTCTTTCTTTTCTTGAATGGGGCATTAGCCAGAAATTTTTCTTGTCTGGTTTTGTTGGGTGGTCAGATTGTGCCAAGCATTACATATAATGCTTGAGTCATAATCATGTTGATAACAGAAAAAGAAACCATTTATGGGCCCTTCCTGTGCTAAGCACTTCACATGCAGGGTCTTATATGCCTCAGAATTACTCTCCAAGGTAGCTGTTGCTGTTACTTCCAATTTCTTGATAAGGAAACTGGCTCAGACAGGTTAAGTAACTTGCCTGGGGTCACTCAGCAGTTAGGTGACAGAGCTGGTATTCTTGCCCTCTCCCTGGGCTGTCTTCTTAGTAGCACCTGTGAGTTCCAACCCAGAAGAGATGCAGTCATTTCTGCTCACACTGTATTGGCTAGAACTGGTCACATGACCCCAGGTGAATTGCAAAGCATGCTGGGGGGTAGAGAAGCATGTGGCTAATTGGCTATTATTCGCAGCTCAGCACCAGACACAGCGGGGTGCAGGCAGGGCTCTATGAGATGTGGTCATCTCTGTACACTGGTTGCCATGCAAAGCTTGACTCAGAGCATCTGTTGGCCAGCATCTGCTTCTCCAACTTGTGTACATACAACTGGGACCAGTCCACAGCATCCCTAGGAGACTAAAAGACACCTTAAACTCCACTCGGGATCAGTTTTTTCAAAGGCAGATTAATTGCTGCTGACGTTCTTTGGACATAATTTTCCATGAGACAGGATCATTTGGAAAGCCATAAATACACATTCAGATGCACATGATAGATAATAAACTCTGCTCCAACGAGTCATTTGAGCCACCATAAATCT